ATATATATATAGAATGATATCATTCAATAGATTTGTCAAGAATATCATATTGCAACATTGTCTGTAGTTGCAACGTTAAGCGCTCTCCATGTCACTTAATCACCAGAGCTGATATTAAATAATCAGTATTAATATGATCATGATGTATCTGATCTACTCTGGGTAAAGCAGCAATTATCGCAACCGTTTTAAGCGTTCCTCGCCACGAATTTAAAGCCAGTTGAATATATTCTATCGACAGCAAAGTAACGAATGAAACATACATAAGTTTGCAATATATCGTACATGGTGTCGTAGACATAAGAAATATTCACCCACAAATGTAGCGTATGGATTATAAGATGCGTCGATGAATAACACTGACACAATGATATAAAATAAAGTAGAGAAGGCGAAAGAAAATGGGACAAGCGAAACAGTTGATGATATTTGTTAGCTGTCTAAGCCGTTACCAATTATCGCGGCCGTCTCAAATCGTGGTTCCTATAAACTGATACGACAGGTAGTGTAACGCAGAAAGCAGTGAATAACATAAGATGAATCTTACCAACGCATATAACTACGTATAATTCTATCCAGCTGAGAGTTTCTGCCTCTTAAGCAGAAAAATGTTGAAACATCTTGTTGAGCTCATGAAAAAACTCATTTGGCAACCTATCACTGAGTAAAGAGGGCCACAGAATAATAAAATGAACGCAAACCAAATATACCTGTTATAAATACACTTCGCAATACGATAATCTGAGCTGAACAGAATGAAATAATACAAAATCTGTTCAATTCAAACCAGTTCCCATCGAGGAACTATCACACTCGTACACACATCAGCGAACACATAAGTACAATTTGCTAAGCTTACATCAAATTGAGATTAATATAATCAAATCAATACGAAAATATCACCAAAAAAGAGCAAGTAAACGATATATATTCTCGAAACATACAGATATATCATGAAAATGAAAACAGCACAAACGTTTATTATAAGAAATACACATTAAAAGACAGCAAAAACGAATAAAATGAAATTGAGCATAACGTTTAATCAACAACTGGATGGCTGATAACAGAGTAGGAATGAGATGCAATAAAGCTATTCTCGAACATCACTCAAGCGTTCATCGCCTTTGGCTTCGCCATCTGCATCCTCTTTATACAAACACGAATTAAGGCAACACACTCAATCCAATAGACAGCTGTTGCTGTTGCTGATGATGTTGTTGCACTGAGTTATTGTTTTTGTTCACATTGCAACTGCTATTGGTGCTGTTGATGTGCAATAGTTGAGAATCTGCAAAGAAGCTGAGCGCCGCCACATCACGACACATACTATCCAGCTCGCCAGACGCATGCTCACTTGCAAAATTGTAGACCATTAAACCGGGTGGTGAACCTGCACCCGAACTTCGATCGCTTGCACTTGAGCTGTACCCTGAACTCGATGACGTCGAGCCGAGACGTGATGACGGCGATACGCTCGATGCACATGCTGGACGCGCTGCTAAAAACATTCTGGTATTAGTGAGAGTACATGAACGGAACGATCAACGAAAACGAAAACAAAATGGCGTGAAATAGCAAAAAGAGAATCATGAAACAAACCGCCAAAAAGACTTGACGATTCTTGGTTGGATAAACGTCGTTGTTGCTGCACAGTAGGATAATGCATCGTTGGCATACTGCTCATATGAGTGAGCGGAAGGGATGAAACTGATTGGAATAGGGATTGTGAGGTTGCGGCGGCGTTCGCATTCTCACACTGCTGTGCAGTTTGTTCGATATCATTCCACTTCGACGATGAACATAAACCACTCTGAAACAATTACATAGTATCGTAATCGTCCACAGACTGCCACAATGAAACGTATCAGTGAGTAGTGCTTAAATGGAATAATACCGAATATTTGTTTCAAATAAAAAAAGAACACTGTTGAGTATTGAATGAAAAAAATGCGCAAATTTATAGAACGAAAACGAAAAAGTGTGGAGAATCAACCACGGGTAGAACCATTTTCGAAGTATTTCGAAAAGAATGTACTCGCGAGAAGGTGTTAGGTTTTGAAAACGTACGGGTAGTGATGGAGACGTATTGGACGAAGAGCGGCGATGCGTTGAGTTGTGAGAATTCACATGGGCTTGTGCCTGTGTATGAGCTGATGAGTTATTAGCGTTCATCAGATGGTTCGCTGCAGTTTGTTGAGGCGACGTGAACGTCTGTGATATTGTTGGCGCAAATGCATGCTGCAGCGAGTCATTGAAGTGATCCAACAGCGGAGAACACGTTGTCGTGGTGATAGCTGAAGTGGAGCAAGAGGCAGAAGCGCAACCATAATGATTACTCGAACTGATCAGTGATGAACAGCAGCCGTGATGGTTGTTGGCTGCTGATAAATCAAGTGCAGTTGAGTACAACGAAGGATGTGCACGATGAACTGGTGCACTGTTCATTGACGATGTTGGGTTCACACTGACGTTTAGGGGGTTGTTCATTGCGCTTGACGATAGGGATGTCGATGGATATACACAATTTGACGATGACGTCGTGAAACACGGTTTATCCGATATTGGTGAAGCTAACGGAACGTTCAAGTTGCCGTTCACCATTGCCGGCGATGTCATATCACTGAAACTACATTCCGGTTCTGAGGTGATGACACAATACGATTTTGAAGGATGTCCTGAGAATCCCTCTTCAATGAAATACTTAATAATAATCTTAAAATAATAATAGGGCTGAGTTTGAGAAAGACTTGAAAGTAATACCAAATAGAATTTCACGAAACCATTAGGACTAACTGTGGTCACAAAATAATTTTGAACGCATCATGAGCGGTGATAACGAATGAACACAAACCTTAATGAATACGCACTACACGAAGCGACCAATGAACGTTGTTGTTGATTCGGCGATTGCTCTGACTGGCCACCGCTGTTTGCAAAATTACTCCAAATACTCGACGAGGACGAAGAAGATGACTGCTTTTGATGCCCAACTGACTGAGGTTGGGGCTGAGACTGCTGTGAGTGTTGTGGTTGGGGAGGAAGTCGGGGGTGATGAGAGTGAGTGTGAGCATGAGGTCTCATCACTTGAAAAGATAACTGGTCACTTGCTGGATTGAACAGCGGAGATGGGATCGAAGCGACGCCGGGAGGAGCCGGAACATGACTGCTGACCTGCGAGGATGTTGTCACTGGTGAATTAATCAATTCCACAGATTTTTGCTGCTGTTGTTGTTGCTGTCGAGCAAGGAATGATGTTGTTCCGCTTGAATTAGCCGTATTATTGGTGTGATTATTACTATTATTGCTGGCAGTGACATTCGGATTGATAACAGCGGCTGATGGTTGGGATGACGGTGACGTTGGAGAGAGCTGAGTCGAAGACTGCGACTGAACTTGTTGTTGGGTAGGAGGATGATGGTTCTGAGTAGCATTATTCACAAAAACATTTGCTAATAACTGCTGATGAAATTGTTGTTGCTGCTGCTGGAACGGCGCGGTAACCGTTGGTGCCGTGTTAGCACCGCTCATCTGAAAACACTCGTTGACATTATTCCATAAAAGAGTACCGATTCTTTATATCGCAACTGCCAGTTGCTCTTTAAATAATTTATGAAAATTGAAAATTGTTTAGCAAATTTATAATACATCCATCATAAATTTAGCATAATTATTTGACAATCGCAAGAAGCAATAACCACAAGATAAAACAGCAACGATGACGGACTGAAACAAACCCAGTCTTGAAATTGCTTCATAAGTTCAGGTGAAGAAAGCAAGGATGTGACCGATGCAACACCTAGATAATATGCAGCCGTCTGCGCACTAAACGGTAATCGTGAAGTGCACGCATCATTCAGTATTGTTGCAATGATATTCTGCAGCGAGTTTTGTGAGAATATATTCGATGCCAAACAAGGCTGTTGTGACTGCGCTGCTTGTTGTGGCTGACTTGAGGCTGCATTGGATGGCGCAGACGACGGTGGAGATTGAGATGACTTCTGGTTGTTGTTCTGCTCATCGTTTACATTATTGTTCATACCACCATTACCATTATTATTACCATTACTATTGCAATTATTAGTATTACTGTTATTGGTAATATTTACTGGCGATATTCGATTATTCATCATTGATGACGAAGAAGACGAACACTGAAAATTTTTACAGATTAACAAGCTTTTTCAAATATCAAGGTTTGACAGGCCTTCAGAAAAATGTTCTTGTGGAAATATTGTTCGATTTGAATAACACATCTTGCTGATCATTCCGATTCAAGTTGTTCATTACCTGTCACTATGAATAATTACACATTCGGAATGATTGTTGCAGTTTACTGATATGGATGCGTACCTGAGGAGAAAGTTGTTGCTGATTAGCAACCGAGTTTGAAGAATTCCCGGACGCAAGGAGGACGCTAGCGTGAGGGAGGCGTGCACCTCTACGGCCCATCGGAGGACTACACACTTTACGCATTGCACGTTTCCAACCGGCAACTCGATGCTTTTGGGCAGTCGTGAACGCCTAAAATTCATAAGAGTGTGCTCGACTTTACAGCTGCGAACTCACTGATGACAACATAAAATGATATTCAGTGAACACAAATGAAATTATAAATCAGCTCACTTCATGATTGATTATTCGGTCGTAGGTTTGCAGAAGCCATACATAATATTCATCTTCAAGCGGTGGTATTATACGATCACCATTATTTTCCATTACTGCATCATGCACTTTACCCAATATTCGAGTGATATGACCCGGCAGATTCTGCAATTTTTCAACAACTTTGCACTCATTTCCATTTGGAACATTCAGCGGAAATTTCACAGGAATTAGGTCCAAGTTAAGTTGAAGAAACAAATTTGCTGGAACCTATGAACATATAAACGAACTTCATCGTCGAGTTGATCAGCACTGAAGCCAATTCCGTCGATAAGTGCTTGTGTGTAATGACATTTCGTCGCTGTGGTTGGATTAGCACACGGAGGTGGGAAGCTCCGAATTGGTGTATTCATTGTCCCTCTCAATTCGACAATCACACAGCCAACATCACTCCCCCGATTTTCGATTGACTGAAATCAGCTCTCGATTATTAAGTTTCATTATGTCGAGCTGCCATCCAAATACGGGAGAGATGCTGAAATGTCAAGATAGCATTTCGAAATAATCGGCTCAAAACTGTGAGCATCAAATAAGCGAAGGAATATCTTGAACGTTAAAGTAAATCACGTTCATTGGGCCGATGTTAAGCAATGTGATCGATTGACGCTCCGATTCAACAAGACTTTGTCGATTAGAGTCAATCAGCCAGAAAATTAATGGGTTGCCGTAAGAAGCAAACACGAGTACGCCATGAAACAATCACCTTCTCCATCTGCTTCAACATCGATACGCGTTCACGCAGTTTTTGTATGGATTGCATGATCTTCTTACGTGCACCCTTCGTAACGTTTAATGCTTCCAGTTTCCGTTCATCCAATGTCATCATTTCGTCATAACCCATTTGTTGGAACATTGGTGTGTATTTGTGTAATCGTAGCGACTTCAACCACATTGGTACATCTGCAGAATCAGACTCACTTTTAAGCATAGCATGCTTTCTCTGAAGTTATTCAGCTTAGACAAAGAAACGATTCCACAGCTGTTCATAGTCTGACTGCATATAAATGCATTTAACGTTCGAAGCTCTTGAAAAAAAAAACCGATACTCTTCATTGCTTTCGTTTACAATTAAATTGCAGCGAAGTGTGTCATATGTTTACTTATATTTATGTATTTGTATTCAACAAAGTGGCTATTAAGGGATTAGATTTAGTAAGATATTAGACGCCAAGATGATTGTTGAGTCAAGAAAAGAGATGATGCGCACAGGTAAATGGATATGATAGTATCATAGCACAAGAGAGGTACATCGATCATCAACAACTGTGAATGTCTCATCTCGAATGTCATCAATCCCACTGCTTGTCACACCAGCAACAATCACTCGATCGATTACAGTTATTATTTCCAAGCGATCATCAAACCTTATCTCGCACAAACTATCTCATGTCTCGACCGGCAACTTTTGATCATTGTCGCCGTTTATTCATGAAAGCTCTAATTACGCGTCCCTCTTTGCAACTGGGTAACCTCCAATTTACTAACCTCCTCATTATGATAGACAAACAGCTCACGGAAGGATACATCAGTCACTTAGTCCATTCGCTCCGATTCCGACAGGTAGTATTGTGTTTTGCATATCCAACCAGTTGATAATATCAATGCAAAATAAAAATAACCCTAGAAGTGATTATGGATACAATTATGACATGAGGTAATCACCACTAGCCTAACCCCAAACAAACTGCTTTCATGTAACCGATCGATCATGCACACATCATCCCCTTAATCTCTTTTATCCTTTCACCTCAAAACACCAACAACATCTAGCACTTTCATCGTATCATTGTTAAACAACAAAAACTTTTCATCTCGTCTACACTTTTGATGATCTTGATTACTATAGTGCTTTCATGAGTGCATCGTGCCGTGCTAACGCACTTCTCTAACCTACTTTATATAAAGAAGTTATTTCGAACCGAAATTGTTTTGGAGGAATGGGCAAAATAAGTAAGAGTAGGGTGGTTAACCAATCATTAAATTTACGGTCTACTATCGAGTCTGACGTTGGGTAAAGCACAGAACAGAAAGCATACTTTTTCAGTATTTTCGGAAATGATCCTAAAAATGTATAACAAGAAAGATTACGGATGAACGCACGAACTACATGTCCTCGTCAGCGTCGCTAAAAATTTACGATGTTTTTCTAATCACTTCCCTTTCGATCAAACAAAGTTATTAGGTGAGTTGTTAGTTGTAAGAAACAATATTTATGAAAAATATGAGCACTGTTTAACAATAAATCTATTTCCCAAGACTTATAAGAATATGCCGACCAGTGTTTCCTTAAAAACGCGATATAATAAACTTCTGACAATACATACATATTACCTAATCCATTAATACTTTCACCTTGTCTCGTCCAAATTGGAATCCAGTGAATTTCAAATGTATGCTCACAATCAGTTCAGCAATGCTCATGTTTACGTTCATTTATGCATGCGACTAGGTGGCACACAGGTTACAGAGATAATTTACGACGTGAACGGTGGCAAGAAAGTGCACAATGAGATGCGTATGATATATTCAACGGTGACGATGCGATAAGATAATGATGGTTCGTTAGTGGACGTCGCGTTAACAAACCGTAACTTGTGAATAACTAGAGCATAGAGCCAGGTGTGATGTATCTTGTACAACATTCCGTGATCACCGACTGCATCATGCCGAAGAGGACTGCTCGAGCCCCCGCTGTTAGCGTATTTATGTAGGAACATGAAAACGATTTGCTCTTACTTGCAGATCGCATGCCCAGAGACAGATACGCTCACCACGGGGATTAATGGGTGTCCAGTTCAATTCAGTTCATGATATAACTGGAAGGCCAGGATGTTCATCATTCATAATGACCATCATGTTCACACATTAATGAGTGTGTCATAATTAAGAAATTGCATACATAGTTGTTACACTGCACCTTCATATGGCACCAACCTATTCTTAGCATTATTCAGTGGCATAAATATCAACCAAACTTATATTCTGAATTTAAAAAGATTCTGCCAATGTGACAACACACGACGATTACACCTTTCCCTGAGCATGCAATCGCCTGCATTCGAATACGAAGGCGATCTATCAGACTCCTGCAGTGAACCTTACATGGTGCTCTAATTTATATCTGTATCGCAGTCATTCATTCCTTCACACCAGCAACATCACCTTGCATGTGCGTATTGCACTTTTCAACTAATCCTAATGTTCCTTCAATACGCAAGATGTAATATTACTATGATTATCTAATGCAGCATTTAATCCAGCACACAGAACAGATCAATTATGATAACCAAGTTAATTCATTCGCCGCAAACCATCAATAGTACATCGCCATGAATAATCCAATGCAATTCACTCGACAGTGATAAATGACAGGTCAATTAATCTCATTACTATTGCCGTTCAATGACGAGAATTTGTTTCACGTTTGCATCTCACACTAATATAACAAACTAAACTTGTCGTACACTTCCATCAGTCACGAATTAGAGCGAGTGATAGAAACGCTTAAAACTTAGCTAGTAGCACCTGTCAACAAATTCAGTTCAAATGCATAATCGAGATTGCATCGTAACGCAGTCCTCAAATTCAGAAACGCATTCAACAGATTAACTTGTCGAAACAGCATGCCTTACAATATTTGATCAAGTGATCAAATACTGAAATACATGCTACTACGTATTGTTGCGACATGATATGTTTGCTGAATTTTGTTACGAATCTGATCAAATTGCTGGATATAGAGCGGATCAATATTTCAAGTTGATGTCGTCTACACGATCACTGCCAAAAAAACTCAAACACAAAAAAGAACGCGATCACACGACCGAAATGGTATGCATTTACTGTTGTTCCTTACGCTATTATCGCTCTCTTTTCTTCATGCTTTATTCAAATGCTTTTTCTCATTAATATGGCAAATCGAAACTTTTATCGGCATCATTATTCTATGAATGAGGAATTTATGTTATGCAAATAATGTTCATAGTGCACTTACAATCAATTCTATGCAAAATAAAACAATCGCACCACTGCTATCACAAAATCTCCGTTCATTTCATTCTGCATTCTTCTTCACCTCAACACTTCCATCTTTTTATCATTACAGCTTGCATAAATTCTGGCGCCTTGTTTTTTCGCCTCATAGATCACCGCTATGAACCGAACGAATTCCTTGAATCGCTTACTGGCGGCAATCTTTAAAAAGGAATTCCTTCGCCTGATCATGCATGGAATTTTTCCTGTACTTCACCCATTCATTCTTCTGCAAGCTCTTGCAATGCTTTCTTCTTGTTAAAGTTATAACAATAATAACAGTATCAATAATAATAACAGTTATGATAATAATAATTATTATCATTATTAATAAATAATAATAATGGTAATAATAATAATAATAATAACAGTAATAATAATAGTAATAATAACAATAACAATAATGTTAAATAATGACAGTAATAATAATGATAATCACACTGATCTGATTTAAGAACTCGTTTNAATAATAATTATTATCATTATTAATGAATAATAATAATGGTAATAATAATAATAATAATAACAGTAATAATAACAATAACAATAATGTTAAATAATGACAGTAATAATAATGATAATCACACTGATCTGATTTAAGAACTCGTTTTTCGATGCTGACAGAAACAAATTGAAGATGCTTTCTTTCGCACTAACTTTTAATAGACAACAGCTGTACGACTGTAACACTGTTACATAACAAGGTTAATTGAATTAAAATGCTTACTCCTTCTAACGAGGCAGAACTGTAAAGTATTGCGGCAATCCTTCGGCAAACAAATTACAAAAATGTGTGCACACTTGATTCTGTACAGAACGTGACTTTAGTGCCACTTCATTTCCGCTATTGCAATGTGTCAAATGTTGTAGGGAAGAGATTTTTTGAAACACATTTTATCACCGTACTCTTCCTTCTGTCCTTCCTTTCATTACTCTCCTCAGCTCAGTCTCGAGTTCCTTACTGATCGCCGAACATCGCATTAGCAGAAGTGGCACCTTTTTACCTGACTATTATTGTAACACTACTGTGCACTCCTTTTGTTCTGATCTTTCGCACAATCGATACATTAAATGCATAGTCATGATTTACACTAAAATGATCGTTATGTCGGTGTCATAAGTGCTCAGCCAGAACTTATACAACGGATTTTATGAAGTTCAGAAATAAAGTGGAAATGAAACCATTCCTGCTGAAACAATTGAATAATCTACACTTCGTTTAACCACCTCAAATAACACCCTACCTTGATCATAACCACGACTCTCTGCAGTTGTATTCACAAGCAATGATGCCAACTACCTACTTCGACCACTCACTATTTCAGTGTCGAGTGTCCTTTCACTGCTCAGTCGTTCAATCGTCTCCACTTGCTCTCTTCACAGATCCTAATCAACCACTGACAATATTCCAAGGTTCACCTCTCCTTTGATTCTTCACACTCAATCAAAACTACAATCTGTTTCGTTCGTTTGAGATTTGTAACTCATCTCCCTGACTGAAGCACATAAAATAATCCAACACTTTTACTGTTACTATAAAAATGTGCGTTTAATCTAAACAACTAGCAAAATGATGAACTCATGCAAACCAAATAAATACAGCACTCCAAGTGAACGACGCATTCTTGTTGCAATTCATTCATGCCATCGCTTACCACTTCACCCTTTCAAGTGCTTATTCTCAGGCTCTTACACTTGTACTGTCAACTCATATCCATAAACCACATATACAAATACAACAGCTACACTTACGCTCTCTCATATGCAAGACCTACAGGTAAGCAGGCCCGTTATTATAATGATATGGATATAATAAATCTTCTATCTATATGAGAGATGGAAGGGATAACGTGACATTTACTTGCCTTTGTTGGCAATAAATACATACATAATAGGCTTAATTGTTAATGAGATACATACTCTCTTCACAATAAACCATTACCAATATCCACATGAACACATCACCTACATCATTTATAAAGGCCTCACCTACCTATTATATGCAAAACCTATTCAACAATTTACGATTCCCATCCATTTTTATACCTCTCAATTACAAATCTCCACTTTAAACCTTTTATAATAGCGCTAAACACATCCCACCCAGCTCGAATGCCACACATGCTGATACACACACAATTCTTACATTCTACAGACCGAGATGACTGGGTGCTTTCAAACATTTTTATGGCAAATGAACAAGATTTGATACAATAGTGATCATGAAAAGTACTTATTTCTAATACAATTGCATTATGAATGGATTCGGTAACAATCTATTAGTACAACTGCGTGTCGTCAGTTACTCCGTACAAGTGAAACGGTTTCGGTTTACGATACTAATCGCATGCGATATTGTTTATTGACACAGAGCTCTTCATCTCATTCTCCAAAAGCACAACACAACCTTTTGTCCATCCGGACCAATAAATAAATATGTATATATGGATACATCTATTTATATACTGCTCGTTTTTGTGTGCATAAACCAGGTGTACAAATAGTGCAATACAATAGTAATATCATTACTTTGTGCCGATATCATTTTCACTTCTCAATTTGTCAAATGAGTACAGAGAATAAACTAAAGGCACTGATTAAACTCGTGTATCGTTAATATCAAATGAAATGCGATCGTCGTAAAACAACATTGTCGATCAAACAGGTGAACCTCGAATAACTGTTCACTCAGATAATCGGTGATCGACCATTTGCTAACATGATCACTCATCTAAACAGTGGTAAAGGACAACTTTTAGAAAAGCCATAGGGGATCACTTAAAATGATAGAACAGTAACAGAACGACGTATGATGAGAAGATTGTGCAACAAATGGAATAAACTTCATGAACGTATAAAATAGAGTTGAAATGAAGCACTCCGCTTCCTAGAAGAGCACACATTTTCACTTCATTCCGAATCATCAGTGCAATTGAAGAAACAATCAGCTTTTTACACTTTTCATGTTTTTTAAATCACACTGAAAATTTTCGAATTTCTAGTGTCATCAAAAACAGTCCTAATCAATAAGCTGAAAAAAAAGAGACAAAAATAAATTAATGAAAAAAACTGACCTCGCATGCCACTTTTTGCTTCAACCGGATACACATTCCTCATTGGTTTCATCGGCGCATTGCTGTCGAGACATGACTGACCATTTGGATAGTTCATCATGTTGTACACCGACGATGAATGGTATCGTAGTGACGACGGAGGCTTCGAGATTACCGGCTGCAGAAAAATATTCGTATTCGAGTAACTAATGCTATTGCAGTGATTATTACTTGGATGATAGCAATCACCGGTATTCGTTATTCTCAAATTATGATATAATCATGAATTCCACCAAGGTGACAAACTGATTACTGACAAAGAGTTATTCTATTTACTATTCATACAGACAAGAATGAGAACAAACAAAATTCCCTTTTATCAGCGGCAAAAAGATTGTTCTCGACGACGAAATGAACAGCGCAACTCAAAAAACGAGCGAGCACATGTTCGCTTATTTTGAGCTTTTTTCATTGCTTCCGAAAAATGAAAAAAAAACTTCAAAAATCGCTTTGTAAACGCAATGAAATTTAAATTTTACGACCCCAAAAGCGTAGCAATAAAAATAACCAAAACAAATAAAGAACTACAAGTAAGCATGAGGTGTCGTCATTCAGAAGTGCGACAGACGGCGATGAGAAAATGAATGAATGGAGGGAATGAGGAGGATGAAAATTGCGGTTTGAGTAGAACAAAAAATAATTGAAGAAATTTTGAAAAAATTATAAAAAAGATACGTGAAAGAATGAAAAGAAAACGGATAAACGAGTATAAATAAAAAAACATTCCAGTGTGCCAATGCTTCACTTTCCTCAATGATTCCCTATGATAAACACACTTCCGCCTCAACAAATAAATAGAATGAAATGATTTCCGAGAGAACTTATGAGGAATCAAAAAATGCAAGAAGACACCACACCGCCTCGTTTATGCGTATGATGAGAACAACACAAGTTTTAAAGGCAGTAATATACATACAATTAACAAAATTAAACAGTTTTTTCTGCGCAATCCCTTCTTTTGTAAGCTGTAATTGATTCATTTCGTTTCAATGTGTTTGCATCGCACCATATTGGTCTGCATCGTGCATTCTTCATATGGAAGAGGATAAGGATGACTTTTGAAAGCGAGCAAACATCTGTTATTAAAAGGATAAGCCGGTGGCGAACAATTTCTTTCATAAAAATAAACAAATGAAGAGCAAAATGTGTTTTCAGATCTGAGATTTTATAGTTGAGTATTAGAAAAGGAATCGTTAAAATAGCTCTTCAATGACTTTTGCTGCTACTTAATGATGAGATGCTTTCTGGCCTTCTTTATCTCTCACGAGCATTTTTGCTCATCGATAAAAACTTTTTGACTTTTCGACCGTGCACTTTTATCAAAACAACGATCAACGCGGCACAATGACTGTGATTCGATCGCTTACTCGTACGTTCGTCTTTTTATGCTGGGTGGCACTAATTAACTATTCGACCAAAAACCTCAACAACTGCTTCCGAAACATCAATCAGGCTCTCTGAGTGTCCTCTATATCGTGATCAGCGATCGCGAAATGACCATAATGGTTTAGACACTTTTCCAAAAACTGGACGAAGCAATAAATGCTCAGTGCCGACATTAATAATGACGCTAGCAACAATTCCTTTATCAAATATCAATCAAACGACAGAACTGACTGATAATCGAGAAGTGAGAAGTATTCTCGGAAGTAAAGGGAAAAAGAATAACGAATCAGCTGATTATAACCTGAAAATTTTTATAGTTGGTGACGAATGTCTTCTGAGTGGATGACGCATTATAGAATGTTGGTTTGGCAGCAATCGGTGAATGCTGTGACAACACCATTGCTGATGAATTATTATTGTATTGTATGGACGGAGAACAGCGTCGCGATGGGCAACAACTCTCTGTCTTAGTACTGGTGCTATTTGCTACTCCACAGGGCAATAGTTCTGAACAAGCACCCGAACCGCCAATACTACTGCTCTTCGAAGATTCGACGCTATTTGAGGATGCCACGGGCTGCTGCGTCGAATGAGCGCATAAAAAAGTGCTGAGAACACTCTCGTCTAAGCACTGCTGTCCACCTGAAATATTGCAACCATCACATCAACATCCAGCACGAAAAGACTGATACCAACAGTCACACGCAAACAATCACCCGACACTTTAAGGGAACTTTGCACACCTACGGAAATAAATCTGACAAAACCAATGTTGAAAAATTATTACAACAGATAAGCGAAGTGTCCACCTTGTACACATACCCAATAAAACATTTCATTCTCACAAACGTCATAGTAAACCACAGGAAATGAGGAGAAGAACGAAGAATGGATTTCCTTTCTCTTTACTGACTTCGAAAACGTGCATGATGAGGCACGCGCAAATCAAGTGAATAAACGTCACACCCTAGTAATCACCATATCAAATTTTTCTTCAAACACGAACAAAAACAGCTGATCAATGAAAGAAACAACACGTTCTGTTGACAATTCAGCTGCTTTTCATTGCAATTCGACGAACTCTCCCTTTTCGCAGTCATAAAAACACCACCGATCAACAATGGGAAACACGGGGAAAAAGTCTGCTCTCTTATTGCGGCTTGATTTCGAGTGCGTTCAGTAACACTTTATCGAGAAGAACGCAAAGGACAGTAAAATACCGAATCATCATCGCCGTAAAAAATAACAACACAATTCAATTCAATCGTATGCTTCACTGATAAGTTCCCCATAAAATCAAAGAATATAGTGTCGTGATCTCAAGTCCAAACACTACACTGTTCAGAATTTCAACTAACAAATAGTAATCGCCATAAGAACTAAACTTTATGCGTCTTATTTGAATTGACCCTCAAGAGAAAAGTGTTTGACAGCGTTTTTTAGGAGCAGATATATTTTTTTGTTCAGTGTGATCCGGAGAGGAAAGAAGTAAGGAGATGGGAGAATCAACTGTTGAAGACAATGTGATACCGAAGATTATGTGAGCGCGAAGAAGTGATTAGAAATGGGAATTAACAAAGAAACATCACATGAACGGATACAGAGAGGAATAATTTCGACGAGTTGTTTTCTTGCAGAATAAATAAACACTTGATCAGACACTCGATAACTGTGAAATTCAACAAGCGCCTCAATCAAGTAATCCCTCATACAAAGTTAAGCAAACAATCACATTAGATTCACTGAATTCAAGTGCCAAACAAGACTATTTGCGAGCAAAAAAATAAAAACCATCCACAATGCTCGCCCGTATCATTTATTCCTGACTGCAAGACAACTGATTTCAAGTAGCTATTCGTCTGATGAATGCATGGAACTGGCCCTAGAACAGCCGCCGGCCGATCTGAATACAGACTACAGTCAGACGACAGCATTACTCCGTCATGTTGACACCCTACATGATTACTTGTAAACAGCCACCTACAGTTACCAATTACACTCTGCACATTTGCAGTTGAATGTGGTTAATATGACGCATAGTCAATGATTAACGTTACCCTAATATTTGTCAAGATGAGATATTTTCATTCCGTAACGGCTGTTTGTCATCAAAACTGTCCCAAAATGCAAGCTTCACGCCAGAAAAGTCAAAATTGACGTTATATACTGTTGATGCATGATAAACCAAAAGAAATTAGCTGAATGCATACAAAGAAAATTTGATGAGACAAAATATAAATTTTTGCGATCAACGATTAAGAGTCTGCGATGAGAATGCTGACAAACAGTTGGTTATGATTCACTAATTTTGTTCAGTCCGGTATTGATTGTGATATTAATTCATAGAACGACGCGACTCGTCAATACTTGCTTCATTCATGCTAGTTGGAACCGTCTGATTGCAGCACACAAAAACATTTGATCATCACTCACTTACAATAATAATTCAGTTGTAATATTAGCAAGTTGCGATCATGTTTACGCAGCAGAGACAAAAGCATTCATCCCATTTACAGTTACTATTGAAACGTTTCTTCTTCGAACAGACGAGACGGAAACAAAACATTTGTAGTGGAAACAAAACAAACATTTGATAGGATCACAAAAAAAAATCGGACCGATGGAATCGCCTCTAACATTACAAAAGCGGATAAAAAATTACTTGAACAGTGATAGTTTTTATGGACGGCAATTCCTGGCAACATCCCATCAATATACAATCTTCTTAGAAAATCGCTTGTTTGCATTCCAATGTAACAGTCGCCATAAAATTACAATAATACGCGTATAACAACACAAATAATAGTGATTTTGGTAGTAATAACAATAATAATAATAACAGTAGAAATGATAACGATCAAACGATAAGAATAATGAACAAAACACCTCAAAGTTCTGAACATAAACTCACCAAACACGATAACAAACATCCAAAGCAAGTAGCAAATCTGTGGTATACACTTAATTAACATACAGTTAAACCCACGCACACATCAATACCACAACTCATATCTCCACGGTACTACCCTATCAATAAACAACACCAAACTAACTCCCCCATGCGTCATATCATCGTAATTCATCTTCCAAACAACCAACTAATAAATGATTAATCTATTCCCTCCCACCTTACAACTGTTCATAGTGCTGCATGTATCGTTCATTCCATTCCTCTCTTCTCACTCTTCATTCACCTGAGCCAATATAAGTAATACCGATGAACGTATCTCGTTCACTCACAGTCAAACTCATCTCTCAATGAATGAATCGCATTCTAACTGCAGATCGTTCGTCTCTCAGCAACTATAAATACTCCTAAACGTTTTACAGTTAACCATTANTGTTCTAGATCTGTTACTTATTGTATATTATGTTACATATTGTACAGTGACAATGATATGATGTTCAGTATGTTATCTTCCTCTATGATCCACCTCATCTCATAACGCCCGCCTATCTATTGATCACATAAATGGATAACGGCTATTGGTCACTTGCTTACACTCTATCATTCACTGAGAGCAAACGAATTTGATGCTATCACTGCACATTTAAGTCGCATCTGGTACTACTATGCAGTTCATGCTCTTGCGTCAGGATTGAAGTGCACAAGAATTGCTAGTGGAATCTCGCTGCATATGACCAAATATGCATAGAAATCGCATCGAAAATAATGACCACTTAACAAGAACGAGAACGTATGATCCAAAACCCATAGGAGCGTCGCCATTAATTGTAAACTAGATACAAACAAGAGGTTTCTACCGAGGAGTCATCAGCAGGCCCTGAGAAATAAAATTGAGAGTGAGTTTGAAACATTAGCTGAGCACACGGATGCTGACAGCCTGCTTGCGCAGATATAATAGCGCAGCATAAATTCAAGAGCGCCCTTTACGTTCAGCTTGAACAAATGTACACATGATTCAATACTGCGTCACATTATGCAACCACTGATCATAACGTTATCAGTATGATCAGACACTACTGAGGTGATCTAATTCCAAGCAACACAATTTCAATTCAACGTTCCAAATTCTGCTAGCAACAATAACTATCCGTTATTACGGCCAGTCGTAAAGTGACAATTACTTGTTGTAACCGGAGGCACAGCCCTCACTCGCCCATGCCCATAAATCAAACGTAGTCAACACGTACAGAAATATATTTACTATTATTATAGTTATTATTACTGCAATATTCAAAAACAAATACAGCATTACTTTTGTTCGCTCATCAAAGTCAGTTGCCTGCGACTGATCAAACACTTATTTTGTTGGCAAATGGTAAACCAGAGTCGAGGACACAACGACAATTGTTGCACACGGTTGATGACTGTGGCATCACGAAGATATTGATAAAGGTTGTTGGAGTGGCTAAACTTCATCGTCGGATCTATTTGGTAAACGTCAGTAATTCCCAGATGACAGGCGTATTATATTATATTCACAAGACATTTCGGTAAACCAGCGAACGAATCTCAAAAGGGTCTTCTTTTCACCCTAAACGAACTATTCATTTCCTGAATATGGCATACAACATATTCCACGAAGATTCTGAATATTGCAAATTTATTTCTCAGCATGACCGTGCACGCTAAACATGACCGTGCAAACTTTCACCCTAAACAAATGCAACACGCTACCTAATCATAGCATGAATATGGCCATCGGTAAGACACGAGACCCACTTAAGTAGCACAGGAATGATTCGGTGAATGAAGGGTGAATGGAGTTGAGAACCTCCCGCTCATATCAGCAATAGACAATCAATATTCAATATTCATGCTTATCGCTTATTACTGAAACGATAAACTGGAGTCGAAGACATAAATGATCCGCTCCTCTCAGAGATATAGTTCGACTCGTCAGAAATGAAGAAAGTGAGAAGGATCGCTCGGAAAAGGGGATGACGCTACTGGGCCACTGAAATTCAGGTACAATTTATGGTTTTCGATTAGATAAAAGTACAAACTGTTGGCGACAGATAACACAGCGGTGATGAAGATCAAACGATGAACGGAGCAGGAGGAGATGAACATAGAAAGTGAACGTAAACACGAAGAAGTGATGCGAGCGGCGACGTTGACGTTACTTCGATAAAATATCACCCAAACTTGCTGTCACAGATCAAATCATCCAACTCTTTAAGATAATTATTTATTACTTCATTCGAAATTTCAACCTGTAATCGACTGAAATCATCACAGCGAAGAAACTGTATTAAGAGGGAGCGATGGAAGAGCATGTGAAACGACACTCTCAATTACTGATAGTTGAACGCCGAGGTGGCCGTTTGGTACTAATGACGCATATCCTCAAATCATGAAGGAGAACGGGTTTGCACATAGGAATAGCATGTGAGAAGCATATGTGCATAGGGTGGTATTCCAAATGGTTTCCATAAGCAGGTGAATAATGAACTAACAAACAAACTATCTTCGAAAAGATCACCAGCTAATATCCAGTGATAAAAGATACGAATTCGAATCAAGACTCAACAATCGCACAAACGAAACCAAGCATGGCGAACTGAAGCGTAATGAATGAAGTTAGCAAACATGCGACTGCTACTAAATAATGTCTATCTGTACTGCAGAGTTGTGTGCATGTGAATGCGAGTGAATACGATCTGCACTTGCCA